CTGAATAGGTAGTTTGGCATCTCGCAAATGAGGAAGCTGAGGAGACAGAGACAGTGAGGGGACCATGAGTGCCTCCTTTTCTGTCACTCATAGAAGATGAGGGATTCAGGGGTGGTGGGCTGTCCCAGGTACATCACTGATCTTTCTTATTGTCTTACATTGTCTTATATTCAGGTGCTACCAGGGGAGTGAGGTGCACTCTATGCAGCTTGAAAAGATAAAGTATCATCCAACAGATGTGTTGCATGCTGGTCTGAGGTCAGGCTTTCTAAGGAAGGTCATATTCTTCTGGAAGGCTTTTCTGAGTTCTAAGTACAAGAGCAGCCCCCAGACCAACACTTCAATGTGTTTTTAATCTAGGTTCCCTGTAAATATAAAGAGAAAGATCTTGTTGCTATATACAAACTTAGTCTCCCCTTGGCTTTATAAGCCCTGGGTGATAATTTCATCTCTGCTGCTAATGAGACAGAAAACCTTGCCTATAATGGGAAGCAGTTGGACTAAAGTGTCTTTAAGGCCTTTTCTAGCTCTAAAAGTTTTATGTTGCTATGAAAGTCAATAGCAATTAATAAAGGGAGTAAAGAAGGAAAAAAAGAATCAGAAACTCTGCAAATAAAAAGTGTCATGTGTTACTATAAATAACTGAATGTGGTTCTTACCTGAGGTCTGGATTCACAAGACAAAATTAATTCCTTACTTTTACAAACTTGGCTATGTCCTAGAAGTTTCAATGCATTTTAAAATTAAAATGGAGATTGGCTTTCCATCTAAATCCTGCCTGCTGTCCTCCCATTTCATCTCCTACTTTCCAAACAGTGATGATGAAAACACCAAGGACATCCTAGAAGAGAAGGTTATTTGAAGCAGCTGCCACTCAAGTCTTGCCCTTTGGGACTGTCATCTTTTCACTTTGTCTTCACCTGTGCCCCTCACAGCTCATGGAGCTAAAACTTGAGGAGCCTCAGGGAACAAACTGTATTTGAGTAGGTAAATCATAGGCGAATTATAGAATACAATTTGACAGGAGGAAGAACTGCTCAAGTGCAACCTCTCAGTTCCATTCTACAACATCTGTTGAGTATGAGGCACTGTGTTTAGAGATCTCAGATGCACGGGCACAGCTCCTATCTCCAAAAGGCTCTCAGTCCAGTGGGAAAAGAGAGATAGATTCAGAAACCAAACACTATCACAGAAATGATTGGTTTAACAGATGTAGAGAAAATGTGTGCAGATGAGAAGAATAATAACTATCATTTACTGAATACTTACCAAAAGCCAGGTGTTTTACTAACACTTTTTTATTTAATTATTTCAACAATCAGAAATGGAAGGTATTGTTATTATTATTCTCATCCGATTGTAAGGAAACTGGCTCTAAGAGGTGAAATGCTTTGCCTCAAGTGACTCAGCTAATATATGGCAGAACCTGAATTCAAATCCCGATCTTTTTGACTCCAAATCCTTCACTGTCATTTACTGTACTTTTCTGCCTCCCTCAAGGCAGACACCCACTATTCTGACTTAAGAAGTTTGCACGATGAATTATACTGGATGTGGAAGACTGATTGAGATGTGCAGTAAAAGTAGCAAGACGTATATTCTGGACAAAAGGAATAGCCCAAGTAAAGCTGAAGACATGGGGAAGTCCTAGGACTTCTTGGGTGGCAGTGGAAATGCCAACTATACCAGTGCCAGGAAGAGCATAGTGTATAAGCAAGGTATGGAGGAGGGACAACAGAAAGGGTTGCTTTGGAAGGATGGGAACAGACTGAGTACACTGTGATTTCAATCTGGCAGCATACCTGTGAAAGTTTCTCAACAAACCTATGTGCAGTTCTGACATTCAATGTAATGTATTTTTGTAAAATTGTATATGCATCACACACACACACACACACACACACACACACCAGTGAGATCTGTCCCACAGAGTTGAGCTCAGCTAATTAAAAAGTTACATTGTAAACAGTGGTTCTCAAACTTGAATGTCCAGAAAAATCCGGTGGGAAGCTTGTTAAAGCACAGGACACTAGACCTTAGACCTAGAGATGCTGAATCAGTAGGTCTGGGATGAAGCGTGAGAATTAGGATTTTTAACCAGCTTCTGGGTGATGCTTATGCAGCCAGTCTGGGGGCCACACTGCATGGCACTGATACAAAGCAGGGTGTGACTCTGCCATGAGGGCAAGGTAAGAGGTTCAGCACTTGAATATTATAGCCATAAGCTTCCTGTAACCCATGTCACACATTTGTGCTCCTCTCTCCAGCTTTGTCTCTCTATGCTGTTCTGTTTCAGGCCCTACCCCACAGTGACAGTGGTCTTTAAAAAACATGAGTCTCATCATGTCACTATCCTGTTTAAAAATGTTAGTGGCTCCTATTGCTTTTGTGTGGCAACTGAATCCTTTCATAGCCTTTCTTACCTCTTTAGTCCCATACAGTCTCCCATACAGAATACCGTGCAGCTCCCTAAGGGAACTACATCTTCTTATCTACATCTGAAATGCTAACCTCCATGAGTCTACTTCTTGTCACTGCTTAAATTTCATGTCTCTTCCAGGTCTTATCCTAGATATACACTCCAAGTGAAGGCCTTTCAAGAGCTTGGGTGATGTCCTTTGAGGACCTCTGTGAAGCACTTTTGTGCAGTATAAAAATGGGCTGGTGACATGGCTGAGCCCTCCCATCCATAAACTGGTATCTCCTTAAAGGTAGGTACAGAGTCTTGGCACCTAGTGTATAAATAAATAATTTAATAAATTATAACATAATGTTATGTGAGATCTGGCAAAAAATAAGCCATATGTCCGTTCTTCCTAAAGCAAAGGATTGTGTGCTTTCTTAGAGTCTGAGCTACCATGATAAAAACTCACTCACAAATAGCATGAGAAAATGACAGCATGCCATTAGTAACCCAGAAGAAGCTGTATCTGTTTCATATTTTTTTCATCTGGGCTTTACAAACCACAAAAGCAACTGTTTTGCCTCCACAAAGAACATATTTTTAATAGCATACTTTCCCAAAAGGACACTCCTCCCTCTGTTGCATTTTGATCTATCCTGATTTAATTTAAAGTTTGAAGATGGGGTCTAACCTTATCTATCAGTGGCTGAGCCGTTGTCTCATGGAAATGCAGTTTGAAACTCATTAATAGGGTAGCCTGTATATTATAACTTAGAAGCTCTGGGTTATCACTGATGCTTGCAATTGCTATGGAAACCGGGTTCATATGCATCTTTCAAAGAGCCTGCTTTAAAACAGGAAAAAAAGATGAAGAAAAAGAAGGCTTCATGAAAGAATAAGGTATTTTGTACCCAGCATGCATAGGCAAGTTCAGTGATGCAAAAAATGCTCTGCCTACACAATGTTAAAAACAATTCTTTATTATTTTTCAGGAGCTAATAATGTATAACCTTGTCTTAAAGAACTGTGTTTATCCTGGTAGAGAAGAATGCTCAAGGCAGTTTTCCCCTGTGCCCACACAGAGACACACAAACACAGACACACATCCACAATTTTCGGTTTTCCCCAGACTTTTTGCAGTCTGCATTCTTAAATCCTCCAAAGGCCTCTATACATGCAGCTTCGGTTGCTAAAACCCACCCAGTGTGGACTGGCTGAGAGCTCAGTCTCTTCCGCTTCCCTTTGAACGTGTATTGAATGTTGCATCCTGTCTCTTATGAGCTGAATTTTTCAATTATAAAATAGTGGTGCTAATTTGATCAAGTTTCTTATTCAAAATTATTGGTTGTATTCCTCCCCAAATTTGGGTTTTGGAGGCTTCATCCCTCATCTCGTTGTCCACATTTCTCCCTAATAACCTAAATGTGGTATTGTGTTAGGTAAACAATCGTGTATCATCTTGTGGAAAATGATTCTTTAAGTTGACACACCTCCCTCCCCCATATAGAACCATATGTTATTCCCTCCAATGTCTTCATCTGCTTATCCCCCCACTTATGAGTCATCTATGGTTTTCCCTTATAATTTATGCAACCTCATTCCTCCCCCAAGTCTAGCCAAATGTGAGCTGGGTTTCCTTTTCTTCTGAGCAAGAACAGGTCACGAGGGCTGAGCTTTCTGTCTTCATCTTCACACAGAAGTAACTTAAAGAAGAACGCATCTGCAGGCAGGTGTTCACTCTGCAGGCATATGGAGATCACTTTTTTGCATTCAAATGGTTATGTAACCCCACATGTTGTTAGGCTGAGAAGACCGTGATGCTCAAAATGGAAATGACACTGTTGCAACACATAGAATATCTCAGAGAAAAATGGGTTTCTAATGTCCTGACTATCTATGATATTCCATAAAGGTAAGGGATTGGATGTGCATGGGCTGGGAGGGCTGGGGAACAAAGGATGGAGGTTAAGATAGGCATGAAAAGGGACTCCTAATTTAGAATTTGAAAAAAACTACTGCTACGAAATCTGCCCATCCTCTGTACAAAAAAACAAAACAGACATTGTTACAATTTTAACCTGATAATGCATGAAAAATGGCTACTTTTGATGAGAAAAATTATAGGCATTTCCTTGTAAACACAAAGGAAATTAAGAGAAATTCTAAAGGTACTATAAGAAAATTCAGCAATAACTCATAATATATTCCCTCTCAATTAAAAAGTAAATCACCCTAAAGTGTTTTATATCCTGAATATTTATCAGCCTAGATAATCTACTTTACCAATTATGTTTTAAATTTTCAAAAAAACCTTTTCTACAACAGCTAGTACAACTAGAAGTGAATATAAATCAGTCCCCCTTCAAGTCTTTAACATATTAAAAAGCTGTAGAACATATATTAACCCATGGTTTTATAAAAAGTAACATGGTTGTATAAAATTAAAAGCAATATCAGGATCTGTGTTTTTGTTAAATAATTACCAATAATATCAAGCAGACATTTCCCACTTAAGCTATTACTCTCCAAGATTACCATTCAATTCTGCATTACAGTTTAAGTAATTTAGTACTCCACGCATGCGCTATAGAAAACAAGAAGCAGGGTATTACGTTAACCAGGTTTGTATTTCACAAACAATTGCAAGGGTGAAGCAGATACCGTCTATGCATCGCATGACCAGACTTTCAGTTCATCGCTTGGAGGAGCTTCCTCGGATTTTTCCCCAGCAGTCTTTTGTTTGTTCGCGACTTGCGGGCTTTCTTCACTGTCATCGTCTTCGGTTTGTAGTTCTTTCCACATTAACTGTCTAGCTAATTTGACATTTAATTCTTCTTGGCAGTGAAGCTTTCTTTTCATTGCGAACTGCCGATGTTTCTCCTGCTTGTGGAGGAGGATTTTTTTCATGTACGCATCGCTGCACTCTGGTTCCTCCGCTTTACAGCTCTGGTCCGAAATATCAGTGGCGGCTAGTTTTTTAACTAGCACGGCGAGGGTCGTAGCTTCCTCTCCTTCAACATCATACATTGAATCTTCCTTATCGTCTTGTGCACTAGTGCAGGGAGTGCTAGTCTCATCTTCCTTCATTAAACCGTAGTCTTTGTACGCCGCGCGGTATGTCTCAAGGATGCTTGATTCATCCCATTTCTGGGATTTCTTCCTCTTTGCATCTTGACTATTACTTCCAGACTGCTGACCGGCAGCCACCACCGAGGAACCCGACGAGCTTTTGTTTTTCAGGATCCCCTTGATGCCCAGTTGTGAGGAGCTGGAGGCTGAGGCTGACATCCTTTGGGAGCAAAGGGCAGCACAAGAGTTGGGCAGCCGGGCAGCGGAGCAGCCGCCAGAATCCCTCCAGTCTGAAACCGCAGCGAAGTCTGTCTGGGCAACAGGTCCCAACGCCCTAGTTGCAGCACCAAGGCCCTGGTGTCACAAAGGTTGCTGCGTATGACGTCACAGTGGTCGCCGCCTCCGTCACCGCTACCGTTACCGTTGCCGTTGCCCTTGCTGTTACCGTTGCCCTTAGCTCTACCGTTACAACCACCGTTGCCTTTGCCATCACCATTGCTGTTATCGCTGACGTCACCGCTACCGTTGCAGTTACCGTTGCTGCTACTGTTGCTTCTGCAGTTACCGCGACCTTTAGCGCTACGGATACAACTACCGTTGCCGTTATCGCTGCGGTCACCGCTACAGTTACAGGTACCCTTGCTTTCTCCGTTACCGCTGCCTTTACCATGTAAGGTACTGCCTCGTGGCGCACGCGTACCTCATTTTATTTTTCTCTTTTAAAGGAAATATGGTAGGAAATACCCTTTGGTTGCACATGGAAACGGGAAGCATTGTTTTAGAAACTTCTGTACACCCTATCTGCCTACAGGAAAGTTTATGTAAAATGTTTCTCATTATGGGTCACTGTCAAAACTTTGAAAGCCACAACTTTGGAAAGATGAGAGGCCTCGGCTAGGTGATGATGACCTTCTGCTCCTCCCTCCTGTGCCCATCCACACTCTCCCTCCTCCTCACACACCTTGGTCCTCCTCTCCTCTCCTTGTCTTCGTGGATGACCCCAACATAGAGCCGCTTACATCAGCTAGGAGTCTGCATGTCCTCCTCAGTCCCTTCATGTTGCCCATTCTCTAATCCAGCCCTCAGAAGTGACCTAAATACTTCAAGAGGCTCATTTGATCTCTTCTGCCACCACCCTGTTTCAAATCACTGTTTTCTGTTACGGCAACTTCACTCACAACCATTGAACTGGGCCCCCCATATCTCCTCCTGCTGCTGTCCAATCTCTCATCCACCCTCAAAACACCCATCAGATCTTCATCTCTCCTTCAAACCCTTCAATAGCTCCCACTCTTCTTGACATAAAGACCCAAATTCAGAAGAGGCTGAAAAGCAGCTGTTATAATCTGCTCAGTTTACTCAGGCATCTATCTGGAGACTTCTTCCCTTATATTCTTCCCACTCTACCTCCAGCTTTCTACTTCCACCTTCGAATTATGAGAGCATTCATGATCCTTCCTGTCTAAGAGGTTTTTTGTCCCCCCCACCCGCCCCGGTTCTTCATGCAGTCTGCAGTGCCTCTTCAGATTTCAGTTCAATCATCATTGACTCTCAGAGGCAATTTCCTAACACCCCCTCTACCCACAGCAAATAGACCTTCCTATGCTTTCATGGCGTCTCTTATTCTCTGTGACAGCATTTGGAGTCATTTGTAATTTCTTACCTGTTTGCACTAGATGACAAACATCAAAAGTAAAAGGAAGTGACAAAGACTCTCTCCTTTGACCAAACTTAATCAGGCTCCTCCAGGCCCTCTGCTCGACTAGGCCTAAACTTGGGCTTGTAGAATCCAGTTTGAGCATGAATCCTACTAAGTTAATTTATTGAAAATTCCCCACCACTGGTATCTGACCTCCCTGAATAGCTGATCAAATTCCTCATGTCCCACACTAGATATCTTGTCGCCCCGTTGGGTCAGTCTAGCAAGAATCCCCCTTAGCCCTGATGTTTCCTTTCGGTAATTTTCCATTCACTGAATCTCCACCCTGCCTTTTACCTATTCTTGTTGGAGTGGATGTCAATGCCAATTTTTCTCCCCTACTGCAAGACTGACCCCATTGCAGTGGTCCCTGTAGCTACTCTGATAGGTCTCCATGGAATAGAGGCTTCCTTACCATCTTTAACAAGCGTCATGAATAATTTTTTAACAGTTATGTTGGCTGTGACTCAGGTAAGATCAGATTCACCATTGGACCCCTGGAGCTCTCATCCAGAATCTGAAGTATGCACCTTTGAAACCTTTGTCTTCACTCTTGACTGACTGATCAGGAATCCATTGGTAAATCCACCTCTTGAGCCAGTGCTTCAGATGGCAGTCTGTGGAAGCATGGTGAGGATGCATTTTGATTCTTATGATTCTGAATATACTCTCTGAAGCTGGGTTAGTCTGCAGCTTTTTATGAAAGGCACCTGAGCCTCCTGCACTCCAGCCTGGGTGACAGAATGCGACCCTGTCTCAAAAAAACGAATAGAAAAGGCACCTGTTGGGCTGGAAGTCTTTCTTCCTGGCTCTTTGTTTGGGGCGGAGTTATATATATTCTGTGATTCCTGGCCTGGTCCTGGCTAGAAAATTCTTCCTGCCCCCCACCCTTATTTAATTACTTCCTGGTTCCCTGGCCTGGAATACTTTCCTGACTCTTTTGTTTCAAGTAAGGGTCCACCGTATGATTACTGGGCTGGAAACTTTATTTTTCCCGTCTCTCTGTTTGATCCTGCTTCTCCCATAGAAACTGCTCAGTTGTCTGAAACCCCTCCTCTTGAAACCCTGCTCAGACCAGCTCTGTCTACTTCCTTTCTTATTGGCATGCTTTTGCTGAGAATTATTTGGAACTCCAATGGCCTCATTGAGGAACTCGAGATCTCCTCAAACTGGCTCCTCTATGGTCTCTTCCTTCCCATTGCTTCTTCCTCTTACCGCCTTCGATCTTCCCTTTGCTCCCTTGAATTCCTTGATATGTTCCCTTCAAACCCCTGCCTGCTCCACTTCTCTGTCCACCCCTGACAGACATTTCCCTTCTCACTCTAGCTCAACTCCCTCAGGCATTTGAACTTTAATCCTCCCACTCACATCAGGGCCTCTCAAGGGACTGAGATACCTGAAAGCCACTATCTGAGGCTGAAAAAAAGAAAGGCTGCTTGGAAACAGACTGGATTTTTTTTGGTTGTTTGTTTCTTGAGACAGAGTCATGGTCTGTTGCCAGGCTGGAGTGCAGTGTTGCAATCTCGACTCACTGCAACCTCCGACTCCCTGGTTCAAGCGATCCTCCTGCCTCGGCCTCCTGAATAGCTGGAATTATAGACACGCACCACCACACCCAGCTAATTTTTGTATTGAGATGGGGTTTCACTATGTTGGCGAGGATGGTCTTGATCTCCTGACCTCACGATCTGCCCACTTTGGCCTCCCAAAGTGCTGGGATTACAGGAGTGAGCCACTGTGCCCAGCCCAGACTGGATATTTCATCTACTCAGGTTGACTCTGGAATCATCTAGACATTTGCTTGATGTGCCCTCAGTCTCTGATCTCAAATTTAGTCTTCAGCCTTTATAGGATTACATATCAGGGCAAAAGAAAATCTTGGAGTTCTCCACAAAACTTCATAAAAAGCTGCAGCTCCTTTTTTTCTTTCTTCAGTCATTTACATTTTATTTATTCCTTTTAACATGTTCTTTCTTAAAGGAGTTGGGAGGGACAGCATGGGGAGAAATGCCAGATATAGGTGATGGGGAGGAAAGCAGCACATCACACTGCCATGTGTGCGTGTGTGCACCTATGCAACAATCTTGCATGTTCTTCACATGTACCCCCAAACCTAAAATGCAATTAGAAAATACATTAAAATGAGCAACCAAAAAAGAAGTTACATATTTATAACTGATACTTTATCATATTCCTTTTTTTTAACTTTCTCTTTTCTTTAAGTTCTGGGGTACATGTGCAAGGTGTGCAGGTTTGTTACATAGGTAAGTATATGCCATAGTGGTTTGCTGCACCTATCACCCCCTCACCTAGGTATTAAGCCCAGCAAGCATTAACTCTTTTCCCTAATCTTTAGCTCTTACTGAGTAGGTAACCTCAATTTGTCCCATTTTTGTCAGAAACACAATTCAGATAAAAAATATAAGTGGAGATAAACCAGTGAGTTTTGTATTACTGTGTTGCCTGATTCATGGCTAAAATTTTAGAATAAAAGCTGTAAGATCTCTGTTTCCATCTGTATGTTTATATATGCTTGTATGTATGTATGTATGCATGCATATTATGTAAATGATATTTCCCTACTTCCAGATGGTATTACAAACTAATTTATAAAATTCCTTAAAGGAAGAGTTATATTCAAATTGGCTTACAAGATAAATGAGACATATAAATTAAATATTACTAAAACTCCCAGAAATATAGGAACTAAGTCAAATCATTTTCAATTTCATCTGACTTGGGTAAATCTTTGGGAAATAAGATTACGTTAATATTGTTGGTTTAATAAAGATGGGTATATCTTCTGAATTATCAGCATTAAGGATAAGATGAGCAAACATATTTATTCTACCTGGGTTTTCTAGTATGTTATCTCTACTAGATGTTTAAAGTTATAAAAATTATAAATTTAACCTAAGAATGAACAAGTAAAAGTGCAGTATCCATCACTTCATGTATACTAAGCACAGCAGTTAAACAAAAGCCCATATATATTTATATGTTAAATAAATATATTTAACATTTTTGGGTTTTTGATTTTTTGACGCTTGCCTAACATGCAAATGCTATAAAATTAGTTAACAGAAAAATAATGAAGTGATTTTTAGCCTTGTTTAATGTTATAATTATTATAACCTAAAAACAGTTTCCAAATATTTGGTAATGTGAAACTTAGAGTTAGCCTAAGTTAAATTAAGAAATAGATATTAATCAAGTAAATAGATCATTTCTAAGCAAGATAAACTACTAAAATACTACTAAATCTAAGTTTACGTTTGTGTACTTTTGGGTTCTTATTTTCATACGGAATAGAGAGGGTAGAATATATTTGGGCCTCTTAATAAACATGAAAAATTGTATTATAAAAAATAACCTATACCTGTAATAAATGTGGGATGGTATATTCACAACATTTGCTAATGTGCTCATACAGAAAGCTGGTATATGACAGACACTTCACAGTTGTCCACTTCCTAGTTTTTTCTGCAAAAGGTGAATGATGGCTAAAAGATATTATCAATACATAATATAATTAAAACCACTAGAAATAAGAGTGTAGGGAAACAACTTTGTATGCAAAATATACAAGGGTAGTAGGATATGTTTTTAATGAAGAAAAGTGCATAAAATACGAAAAATGCAT